CCAACGACGATAAATTTTCTCCAAATTCTCTGAGAATGTTTCTAGTTCACGAAATTCTTAAATTATTTGATTCTTATGTTTATTATTTTGAGTTAAGGATTTTCTTAAGGAAAATTTTGTAGTAGGCCAGAAGACATTTGTCAACAATTTTGCATCCACTTTGTATGACATAAGTATGCACCACAAAATGTAATAAAAATTTGTACTAAAATAACGATATTCTTTACTCAGTATCTCGGAAACTAAAGGAGATACACTCAGAAAAAGATTTAGTTATAATAACCAAGATTTGGTTATAGTGACCAACCTGCAACTTTTTACATATAGACTGTGCTGCAACAATTCTAGGCATCGTTTTTCAGTAATATCTCTTCTTTTCTTTTCATGAAATGTGTTTTGTGCATGCATACAGAGACTTTTTACAATTTCGTCATGTTTGTTATGGTACGCATACTTTGGGAGCAGCAGTGAGTGCAGTCGGCATGACACAATGGGGTGCACTGTGGCTAGTCATGTCGGCTGGGCGGAGTTCTTGCCTCACTACTGTTCCCTGCGCCATAGCAGAGAAAAGTCATGCCTGTCAAACATCTTCGCTTCCGGCATGGCCGGAAGTATCGGACGGACACAATTCAAAAAATTCAAAAAAACCGTTACAATCAAAAAAAGCTGAAAATCCAAATAAACAAAAACCAAACTAAAACTCTGAAATAAAATGAATGAACCCAAAAAAAAACCTAAGGCCGAATATAAGGCACCACCGCTGGTATTGTGGTGCCTGGTGCTGGCCCACCCTCAACCGTAGCTGCTGGCGCACCCTAATATCAGCAGCCCCATAATAAAATCCTAATGTTCCTCCCTAACCCAGGAAAAAGGTCAACATTCCCATTTAATTACAAGATTTATTTATAATTCATTTCCTATAAATAATATATAAATTTTCCGAAAGCAAATGGATTTTAAGTAGTAGCAGGTAAGTTGTTTTACTATATATTTAATTCAATTAATTATAATTAAGATAAGTATTTAGAGTTGATTTAATCCAAGCTCATGTAAGTTAAAGCTAAAATATAAGTAAAGGTAAGTATCCTGAGTAATTATAACTAGGAGGTAAATTTAGGGTAAGTACGGTTAAGGTAAGTCAGGTCGGTAATCCGGTAAGTATATTACAAAAACCATTGAATTGAGTTAAACAGGTAAGGGTATGTATATTTATAGTAGGTCACGTAAGTATATTAACAAAAGTTAAATTAAGTAATGCGGGTAAGTATAATCAGGTATTAGGGTTGCGATTTCGTTTTAAGTAGTTAAGGATTTTCATTTAATTTTCTATTTCTTCTGTTCTATCTTTTGGTTGTATAGCGTTTTGGTTTCCGTTTTATATTTTCACGATTTCATTTTAAATTTTTTTATAATTTCGTTATATTATATCATTGTGGCCATTTTCTTTTATTGTATTAATGGTTATTTATTTAAAATTGGTTTTATAGTTGAATTTTTGAATTTTTCGTTAAGCTTTTAGTTTAAACTTATTTTTATATGAAATAAATTTGTATTTTATTTTATTTTAATTTAGTTCAATTTAAGTTGATTTTATTTAACTCTATTTAATTTAATTTAAGTGATTCAGTCAAATGCATATATATATTTCCACGCGTTAGCCTAAGTCTATTTCATATATATAACCATGTACATGCATATACATATGTATGTACATGCAGGTATACAGGCATTTGCATATATGTATACACCAATGTCGTAAACAGGGTGTGATTGACAACTCAGGTAGGCTCTCTTTTAAGATACTATTATGCAAAAAAAAAGATATGAACAAGCGATTCAAAATTCATAACAAAATTTCAATTTGACGTTATAGCATGGTTCTTCTGAGAGCCATGTCAAATTCAATCACACTTTGTTAATACATTTCGGTCCTACCTCTAATTTCTTAAAACTATTGTTCTTGGGGGGGTTTACCCCTTTCTTTTCTTTTGCCTTAACTAGTTTAAGCTTACTTTCTAACCTTGTGTTTTTTTTTATTATTATTTTTTTTTATTTTTATTTTTTTTTTTTATTGAAAAAAAAGCTTAGTTTAGGCCCGAAGGTCTCACCCTTGTTGCAGCAGACTTGGGTGTGGCCTGCTGTTGTTGTAGTCGCTGGGGTTGTGCGCTGTTGCGCGCTGTTGTGTCTGGTGTTGCGCACTGTTGTTGCTGGTGTTGCGCGTTGTTGTTGCTGGTGGTGTGCGCTGTTGTTGTTGGTGTTGCGCTGTTGTCCACGCTGCTGTGTCGGGCGTTGTTGCACTCGCTGCTGTGGCGGTTGTTATTGTCGATGGCGCGGTGTTGCTTCCGCGCGTTGTTGCACCCGCTGCT